AAACCCCACCAAAAAAAATTATAAGAAAAAAAAAATCTTATAATTTTTTTGGGAGCAAAACCCCACCAAAAACGTTATAAGAACAAAAACATCCTTATAATTTTTTGGGAGCAAGACCCCACCAAAAAAAGTATAAGAAAACAACTATTTTCTTATAATGTTTTTTGGGAGCAAAATCCCACCAAAAAAAATGGTTGTGTGGCTAACTTTGGGTCCTCAAGAATCTAAAAGAAATTGCGCCTGCGGCGAGCAAATCCTTTAATTCCAAATATATTTAGAGACTTCAGAATTGTCACCAAAAAATATGCGCCTGCGGCGGGCAAAGTCTAAGGACATTGAAAAGAAATCCGCCTGCGGCGGGCAAATCCTGAAGTTCCTAACTTGAAGGAACGTTAGACTTAAGAATGACTTACGTAAGATTTTAAAAAGTATGCGCCTGCGGCGGGCAAATTCTTAATATCGTATATAAGTTCTGAATTTTTGTTGTATGTTTTTGTGTGGAGCTTTGCTCTCAGCAAAAATATGTGAACAAGTAATATTCATTCTTCGGAGTGTTGCTCCATCTTTTTGCTATATACTATTTGTTTTAAACAGTTACGTTTGCTTAGGCTTCTTGACAAACAAAAAAGAATGTGTTCCAGTGTTCCACGTGCAAGTTCCTGCGACCATTGCCGTCAACTCTTCTCCCTGGGTATTTGTAGCAGGGATGCTGCAAAGCTGCGTGGTTTGGTTTGGTTGCAAAAAAAGAGCACACAGCCCGCCCCAGGCAATACTTGTCAGGACAAATGGACAAACAGGAGATTGGATTGAGTGACGTTTTTTCAACAAAAGTCAATTCGGCAAACGTTTCACCAATTCCTAAATTATGTCCTTTTCTGACACTTTTTCACATTTGCATATTTGTGTTGTTTGCTTGTGCCCCCCGTCACCTGAGCAAACAAGTCATGAAGGAAAATGGCCTCAGAATGTCTGATTGAAGGAACCAGCTGCAAAAACCCTCCTAGTCCAAAAAGCAAGTGGTTAACACTTCCTCACACTCTCAAGAAGATATATATATTTTTTTTTTTAACTCGGCAGGGGTTGTGAAAATTCATACATGGAATCTCCCTTTACTTAGCTCCTGAGGCCAATGATTATGATTCATTAGCTGATATGGCTTTCTCTAGGCTTCTTCAAAACTGACAGCTGACCAAAACCACCTACAGCAAAGCACCTGAGAAACAATTACAAAGCACCTGAGAAAGGAAGCTGAATACAATCTATGAAAGGAAAATGAATACTACAATCAATTACAAAAGATCCCTCACCAGGAATCCAGATTTGTTTTGGTGATAGTTTATTATAGAGGACGCCCTGTTTGTTTGAGGGAGGGGCGGGGGGGCCTATTTACTAATCAGGCGCCAACATTATATTGATTGGAAGTATCCTCCCTCATCAGGCGGCAAAACAGCGGAAGCAAGCGAACCAGGCGGCTTCCTACACGAAGTCTTTGGCAGAATTGTGGGGCCAGGGCTGAGGTACAACCTGTGCCCACCGTCCAGCATTTGTGGGATGAATGCGGTCCTGCTCTCCTACATCTTTGCCATTGAATGTACAGACCAGCATCGGCGGACACGTGTGTTGTTGCTGTCAATGTTATATACGTTCAATTCATATATGTGTTTGTTTTTGATACTATGTACCATGCACCATGGAATTGCCTTGAGGCTGGTTTCAATCCTTAGCCACACAGAAGAGAAACCCAGAAGCTGCTCAAGATAGCAGCAGCGGAGTTGAAGAACACATCAGCTGAATCGTCTGAAGCAGTTCTGAATTTTGCAACCTCTTCTCCTCTGCTCACCTTTCCCAAATCTTATATGTTCCATATATAAATGTCTCACCAATATAAGCCCTATAATACAGGTAGTGAACATGTGCAATCTGTTTTTGGCCGCTCAGGGTGCCGGATATGCTGGGCACCCTGGGGGGCATCGCCAACATCATGGAAAAGAACCGAGGGACAAATAAACAGTGAGTGGAGTGGAGTGGAGTGGAGGGACAGTGAGTAAGTAAAAAGTGAGGGTACAGCAGCAGTGTCGGTGAGAGTGAATCGAGTGAGAGTGGAAGTGGGACTGAGTGTGAGAGGAAGAGTGAGAGAAAGGACACAAAAAAAATAGCGAACAACAAGTCTCATGGCCGAAGAATGCTGTGGACTTCCTTCTCCTCCAGGCTCCGGGCCCGGCGAGGAAGAAGTTGCCTTGTAAGTGCCTCCAGGGACCCGCCAAGGGTGCCATAGCGTACGTACATACGCAATGGTATGTATAAATAGATAACAAATAAATAAATCGTCTTTTTGTTTCGGTATCAAGCATGTTGCGACATTTCGGACAGCAAGTCCTACTGTAATACTTAACTTTAACCGGTGCTTGCTTCCAAGCCAGGTTGCCTGGCAAGCGTTCTTCCACACACATCTACATGCGCTAGTTGACCCACAATGATGAAGAGAAGCAAACTTATCATGGTTTAGAAGTGCCTGGTTTTTGCTAATCCCCAAGTCTGGATTTGTCATCCCTCATTGGCAATCTCTCCCCTCTTGCTCCCTCCCCCTCTTCCTCCTCCCCCTCTTGCTTTCATAATGAACATTTTTCACCTTGGGGCTGGGTGCGCTTGCAGACCTACCACTGCACTGCTTACAAACCCATGTGCAATATGAGGTTTTAAATTGTTGTGGGTGCGGAACAGATTGGTGTCGGCTCATGTCGGCTCCCAGCACTCTGCCTGGCTCCGTTGTGGATGGGCCACTGCTCAGGTGCTTGCAAAGCCACAGCGCGGCAGCCCTGTGGAAAACTGGGAAGACATCAGTACCCAGTAGCACCCGGTACAGTACCCCTCCAACTTTCCTCCATGTGCCTCCAGAATCTTCAGAATATCCAACATGAAAGGCAAGAGGCGCCAAGGAACAAAAATTGTGATGGTGGAATGATCGGAACGATCTTGCCTTCTTGTGGACTATGTAAGGTCAACGGATTCCAAGCCCTTTAGCATTCATCAGCCTGACCTAAAAAGAATAAACATAAACACACCCGCCAGCTGTCTACACAGCGATCGGCAGTTCTTAGAGGTGACGCCCGGCCCCATGAGACAAACACGTTCGGAAGACTCCCTGAAGCATGTGAGGTCCTTGCTCTCCAAGTCAAGCACCCAGCAAGAGATGCCTAGCCAGGTGAGAAATCCCCCAGAGTTTAACTGACAGAGCTAGAGCTAGACTTCAAATGCACACTGGCCGCACCCATCCACACAAGCACAAGAACACGCAACCAAACTCAGTTTTTTGCGCATCCTCACACAGGGAGTGCCCTGCTGAATGTCAAAGGCATTCAAAATGTGCAGTGCGTGTGCATCTTCTCCCGTGGAGCTGACTGACTTGAGCTTAGCCAAACAAACAGTCCACAGGAAATGCTCCCCTGACAAGCAGAAAGGAAAGTGCAAAGGTGCTTTGTCTGGGATTGCCTTTAGTGGTGCAAGAGCTGTGAGACGCCTTGCAGGTCTTGAGGAGATCGAAACTTTAAACATCTTTAAACCTAATTATATACCACTCCCCAGTTTGCATTGGCTTCAGCCCGCCGTCTTCGTCACTTCCCCCCCGGACCGGTTTAAGGATTATATAATGATTTGTGATTTATGAATCCACATGTTCATGCTTCCCCCCTCGTGATTGGATTCCTGGCGTGCTGAGCTCAAAAGCTTAAACAGTTTGGCGCCGTAGGTTCTCAAAAAGAAGCTACGCAGCCTCAAACGCAAACACTCAAAAAAAAAACATCGTTATGATCTACGAGCTCAACTCAGTAGCTGATGTTGTGAGAAAGCCCGGTGAAGCGTCCAATATCTTGTTCCTAGAACATGGGGAGGGAACGTGTTCGCTTCAAAGATCCATCCTCACAATCCTCAGCAACCTCAATGAAGGTGTTCTTGATCAGGACCTGCACGTGTTCCACCTTGGGGAGCTCCCGCAAGTAAGAAGAGACGCTTTGGGCGACACTTGTGATGCCTTTGAGGCTGCTGATCGGCGACATCTCGGTCTCGCTCTGAAGCGACGTCCCGCGGCTGAAGGGGACCGACAAGGAATCCACTCCCTCACAGGTGGATTGTCGGCTGAAAGATGCAGAGCAGCTTGCAATACTGCCCTTAGGCGAGTCTTTTGGGCAAGACTTCATGATCAGGTCCAATGCAGCCTGCTCATGCAACGATTTCTGGAGCATAATCTTCTTGACCTCAAGAGCTCGTTCCTCATTGCCTTTCAGCTCATTGGCTGGTTTGCTCCGCGCTGCCTTTGGCCGACCGATCTTGGCCGCAGAGCCAGGGCGAAGCTCATCTTTGCTGTGCGCGAACTTGCATTCACTGCCTTCGGCGCAGCTCCCTATCTCAATGAAGTTGGCACACAGCCGCGTCTTGGAGAAGTCAGGTTGTTCTCGCAGCTTGTCTTGCCCATGGGCGAAGGAGCAAGCAGTGCCCCGTGTGCAGGCACCAATTGCAAAGAATCTGCATAAACGGGTCTGCTTGTGGACTTGGAGGCGCTTTACCTCTTTAGCGTTTGCACCGGCAACGAAGCTGGTAGCCATGGGTCTCGTTGCCTTCACGACGCTATAGGCCGGGCGTGGCACTCCAGGTATCTCTCAAACTTGTCACATGAGCAAAATATACAATTGAGAAAGAGAGAGATGTATATACAGTATATCAAAAAATACAACATTATATAATATTATATACTCAAATAATACATATCAACGTACACACTGGCAAGAACACATCCCAATCGCTTTAACAACCGTTGATGCCACGTGCACTTGGACTCATTTACATTTTTGTCACTGGCCTCTCGATCAAGGTGCTTCAACTGACCTCAACTAGCCATCTTTTGGATGAGCTGCAAAGGCCTGCCTCGCACCCATCTGGGTGCTCTGAATTACCTTTGGTGAACCTGTTTGAGAGCACACTTGAGATAATTAGCTGGGAAACGGAGTGAACACAAAAGTGACTTATATATAAACAGTCTGGATTAGTGCTGATCATTTCAGTCGAGCCAGGCTGTCAGCTCAGTCCCCTTGGAAGGTGGCTGACCAGTTGGACACCTCTCGAAGCACGCTTCACAGCCTCCCGCTCCGAGATGCTTCTCTGGCGATCTCTTCAAAAAATGGCGGGGTCATGTAGCTGCATCTTGAAGATCTTGGACAGTTGCACAAAAGTTGTGGCAAGGAATGGTGAGGAATAATGCCTCTTTGCAAGATTAACAATAGAACGATCATGCGATTTGCAACCACCCGGTGCCAAGTCTTCTGAGAAGACTTGACGACTTCATGCAATTTCTGAATTACCTGCCAGGATCATGCCAGATCTTTGGCAAGCTGTGCAACTGCAGGCATGTTCCTTGAATGTGGTCGAGAATGACAAAACGGTTGCAAGCTTGTGCGTCTCTACACCACTCTATTGAAGTTGCTCTGAAGATCGCCGCCTGCTCTACCCGAAACTGCGACTGTATTATAGTGAATGACAGGCTGGCAAGCGCAACTGCTGCCACACGAACAAACTGGGTGTGAAAACATATGGCATTCTCATGGGCACCTACATGCATCTGTCACAGTGCAGTCATTACGGCAAGCGGTGAGAGCTTTAAGCGTCAATTTGCTGCCGGAAGCTGGGCGCAGTGCTTTGCAATGTCACCAGTGGGTCTTTGGTTAAGTGATGTTACATATTGTTTAGATGAGATAGGACTAGTGCCCAAAAATGAGTTGGGACTTTTGGGCCACTAGTCCTATCTCACATGTGCAAAATGCTGGTGTCTTCCATTGACAAATTGCAATGAGATAGGAGTTGTGGGTTGTGGACATCTATGTTTTGTTTTTCTTGGGAGGGTGGGGGTAGCTGCTGAGGTGCCCTGGCTAGACAATTTCTATTATATCGCAAGTATCATAAACAAAGCAAATCATCAAACCTTGCATACAGCAGCTAGAAAAATGTGCACTCTGCTCGATCACCTGGAGTGATCTCTAGGGATTCTCGATTTGCATGATTTTGCATGGTTTTCTTGATTTCCCTCATGAGATGGGATTTGTGGAAGCTCTAAAAACATGGTTGTACACTGATGAGATAGGACTGGTGGTTGATGACATACATTTTACAAGTACCATCTCATTTGGACATAGTATAAGTGCAAACTTTCTGAACATCATGACCACAAAATTCAGTTTACAAGGGATGGCCTCCGACCTATAATAGCGTGGTTCCCATGGACGGAAAGGGTTGCGACATGGTGCAAAGATGTGCAAAGCCTCCCTCCGCCCAGCTTTGCCTCTAAAAGTGCGGGGCCGAAGCAGTTCGGCGAAATGGGACTGTCACTTCAGCTTCTTCGACTTCAATAAATGTGTTCTTCACCTGCACAGCTGCCCGGTTGGAAAGACTTGAACCAGTCGGTGCAGGTTGAGTGAATGTCTCATCCGACAATCTCTCAGAAGCCACCTTCGTTGAGGAACAGCCGGCACTATACTCAGCAACTTCCAAAGAGGTCTGCCGACTCCACACAGCCGACTCCAAGGTCGTCTGTCGACTCCAAATGGAGCCCAAGTCCTCATCATCCTTTCCAACCTTTCCCACTACCTTTCCCTTGCCCTTTGCAATTCGCTGTGTGGCCCTCATGACTTGAGCTTCGCTTTCGGCCTCCTGTTCCACCGCTCTTCCCGGGCGGCCGATCTTGGCCGCAGAGCCGTGGCGAAGTTCCCGCTTGCCATGTGCGAACTTGCACTTGCGGCCAAGCGCACAACGCCCGAGCTCCACAAAGTCTCCACAGAGCCGCGTCTTGGAGAAGTCGGGCTGTTGGCGTAGTTGATCCATCCCATGTGCAAAAGAACAGTCCTCCCCACGTGTGCATGCACCAGCTGCGAAGAACTTGCACAAACGGGTCTTCTTGTGCACCAAGAGGCGCTTCGCATCTGCATCACTTGGCTCGTCCACGGCCGTCATCGCAGAACTCCCCGCACTAAGTTGGGGCCAAAAATCTGAGTCACTGGGCATTTGGGAAGGTTGAATCAATCAGGGCATGCCCAAAGCTCCATCTTATAAAGAAGTGGCGTGAGTGGCAAGCCCCTCAAAGACAAAAACACAATCACGACGACACAAATCCCGTCCATGGAACAGAACCCAAGCCAATGAAAGTTCTTGAGTCTGACTCTCCCGGATGTTTTGCTTTTTTGATCGTGTGAGGCCTTCTGGTCTGGTGATGCACTTCGAATTCAGTGCTAGTGCACTTAGAGACAGGGCCATAACCATTGGCACATGTTTATGTTTGAAGGCTGGATGGCACTGAATGACAAATCGCACGCTGTACAGGGAACATGATGAAAGCAACGAAACTTCAGGGCTGTTGCTTTCTGCAGCCGAACGGAACTGTTGCGTAGCAAGGCTCCGAGGAGACCGGCGGAATTTCGTGAATGTACAGGGTGTTGAGAGAGGCGAACAGAACGGCGGAACTTGGCCCAGTAAATGTTCAGATGTTTTCCTTCTCTAGCCGGTCCCCGTCTTAAAATTGAAAAAGTTCATCCTTCAAACAATGGGAGGCCCAGGGTGCGATCTATGGAATCTATGGCTGTTACGCTGTTGGTGACTAAGGTGATACCACAAGTTGCACGGCACAGCCTACAGGAATCATCACGAATCTTTATACTGTATATATATATATGCCATTACAGGTTGTCATCAAGAATGCTCAAAGAAAGCAACCTTCAGGGTCATGGAAAGCGGGGCGACTGCTGTGGCTTCATGACTTCCGTTAGGGCTCTGCGTCTCCGCACTCAACCATGCCCAAAGCCAACTGCAGTCAGCCATCATGCATTTCCATTCCTCCCATTCAGCAGCTTGCTTCATGGATGATCCGGAGCTCTTGGCAGCCGTTGTGGTGCATATTTCCTAAGAAGAGTTGGCGCACAAGACTTGCTTCCAAATTGTCTGGCGCTGCCTTAAAGACTTTCAGACTTTGTATTGAATTACTGTATCTGAGAAAAGTTCAAAAAAGGGGCTCACCGGGCATTTCTTCTCATCTCAGTTCATCAACAGCGCTGACTTGCGCCTGCCCAAGACTGGCAAAGATCTGGAGGTACGAAGTCCTTTGCAATGTTCTCCATCCTTGAATCTCAACTCCACAAAAGTGTTTCTCACCAGCATCTCCAGCTCATCATAGAGTTTAGGAAGTTCTGGGTATGGAATTTTGGCGGCTGTGGGTGGCGAGAAGGTATCCAGCGGCCGCTCAGATCCCGTGCTGGAGATCGACACATCACGAATGAATCCTGCTGATGTGCTCTCTACACCTTCCCAGGTCACCTGTCGGCTCAGAGAGTCTGCACCCTCAAAGTCCTCACCATCTGCTGCTTTGTCTTCCTCCACCTTGGAAAGCCCCACGCACACCCCAGGCGTCACCTCTGCTTTGCGCAGCAAAAGCTGCAAAGCGGCTTGTTCGTGCAATGTTTGTTGCAAACAAAACGTCTTCTGGGTCTGTTCTGCTGATGACATTTCAAGGCCCTCCTGTTCTGCTTTTCCTGGCCTGCCGATCTTGGCTGCAGAGCCCGGGCGAAGTTCCCGCTTGCCATGTGCGAACTTGCACTTGCGGCCAAGCGCACAACGCCCAAGCTCTAGAAAACCTGCACAGAGGCGCGTCTTGGAGAAGTCGGGTTGTTGGCGTAGTTGGTCCATCCCATGTGCAAAGGAGCACCCCTCACCACGCGTGCATGCACCGACTTCGAAGAACCTGCAGAGTTGTGTCTTCTTGTGCGCCGCCAAGCGTTTGGTCTCTTTGTCACCGTCGGAACTCATTGCCGGCACACGAAGTCTCAAGCCTTGTTTCTCACCCGGTTGAGCCACAAATGCTGGCAAGTATGCGGCTAATTCCTGACCATCTTGTCTGCAGTCCTGATGCAGCAAGTAGCTACCACGAGGCTTTGCATGACGACCGACCTCTCATCTTTGTGTGATTTGTTACGACAGTCACCTCTTTCAGAAAAGAGTGCAGAAAGCATATCAAAAAATGCTGGGGAGAGAATGAGAGAGAGAGAGAAAAAAAAAAACATAAAGAAAATCTCTTCGGAACACTCCGCAGCAAAAGCTAAGGAACAAGTGGACGACACTCTAGGGTAAGGCGAGGGGCTAGAACAACATGCAAGGCAGAGAAAAGCAAAAAGGATGAAGTATGAAGTGCACACACACACGAGAAGAGAACAAAACGTGTTTTTCAAACAACAGCTGGGCATGGGTCTGCTGATGACAGCGCAAGCAACCTGGTATGCTATTTCTCTGCTGGTCCGGCCGGCCGGCCAGATCGGCATGATTTTTGTTTGTCTATGGGCCCGGCTAGCGACTGTAGCAGAAGTGGTAGCAACCTGCAGTAAATATAATAGAAGTAGCAGTAATTAAATGAAAACAAGTAATAGTAGTGGCCGCCGTTGTCGTAGTAGTAGAAGTCGTCGTCGAAGAAGTATAGTCGCAGTAGTCGTCGTAGTAGTGTTGGCAATAATAGTCGTGGTAGTCACGCAAAAGGTAGGGGCCGGCCGGGCGGCCCGGACCGTGATAAGCTCGCAATGTGGCAATAAAACGGTGGCAACATATGGCATGTAGCGTGGCATTTGTGAATGGAAATGCGAGGTTTTGCAAGTCTATTTCAACAAGTGGTGTGCATGTGCGTGTGAGTGTGTTCACTAGACTCTTGTCAAAAGTGTGGAACACAGCAATACGTCAGTGTAGCACACGTGCCGACATATGTGCGTGCATGACAACAACACAACAAGCATCTATCGGGAAATCTCTTCCGGAACCGGCTTTGGAGCCCGGCGGCAAGTTATCACGACATGTCGTGCCACGCCCGCAAATCACTGTAACAAGCTGAATCATGCCAGCGTATCTACACGTCAATATACCACAGCACTTCTCAGAAGGAAGTCTGACATGCTAGCTGTTAGCTGGTTTGACAGCATGGTAGCCTCCGACATCTGCTCAGGAACTTGCTGGCGAACTTGCTTGGGAACTCGCTCCAGCACCTGCGAAACTTGCTCCGGAGCCTGCTCCGGAACTCCGAGACCTGGCTTCGTTCAGCCAGCCAGGAGTCAACGTTTGTGAAGACCCGGCCAAACAATAAACCAAATCACAACAGCAAAACAAAGCACGATACGAGAGACAGTGAGACAATCAACGATGTTTACATATAGATCCATATAGTACAGCAAATAATCCCGAGTACCTATTAATAAACACTCCCCAATTAAAAACACCACGTCCGAACCCCTAAATTTGGTTTATATTTGCTTTTAAATTGCCGCCCTTTCAAGCCGCTACTAAACTACCAACATGGTCGATTTTGGTGGTAGTTTTTTTATTAGGTTCCAAAACAACCGTAACTGCCCACCTCTGTCCGCCCTGTCTATCCACCATGACACGCCGCGCTTACACCAGCAGGCTTTCCTTCCCCCAATGGCACGGACTCACGCAAACGCACTTGCCACCGAGGTCATGCAACACCGCATGGCACAGCGACATCACCTTTCGAAAGCTTTAGCTGTTAGTCTACTGAAGAATAACTATTCTAATGAAGGTTTTTGTAGGGGAAAAAGGAAGACCCTTCGATCTGGAGCTTTTTTGCATTTTTGATACGAGGTTAATAAAGGATTTTATAAAAAACTTTACGGATTTACTTTTTGGTTTTGAAGCTCTTCCCAGGTGATCCTATTTTGGACCCCCCGATTTCAGGGACCCCCTATTAGAAAAAATGCGACCGAGGTTTTTTTAATTAGGGGGGGGGGGCGTGTTTATTATTAGGGGGACTGGATTACTCAAATGCTTCCCTGAAGAATGCTAGCACAGAGTCACAGAGTGCTTCTTTTTTTCGTGAAGGGTGCATCGAGGCTATATAATTTCCCGTAACAATGGGCTGACCAAGTTGCGGGCGGACAGAGTCAAGAGAAGATTGGCGTCCGACTCGTTTCAATGATTGCCAAAACTGGTTTCAAGAATTCAGCCCTGAGATTGAAAAGTTCCTGCCACAGTATGGGGAGACGCTCGACTGGTACCGCAATATTCTGCAGGATTTTAGCTTGATCATGGAGCGAGACTCCTGCTGGGTGGTTGCTTGCCTATAGCTTACAGGATCGCAGGGATTTCCATGGATTTCGGCAAGTGGCCTGAAAACCTTGATCTAAGATCGGGCGTTTTAAGAGCGCCTACTCAGGCCGTCCAAAGTACCTTAGAAATGGGAGATGGCCCCATAAAAACATGTACTTGCACCCATTTGTTGAGGGACTTTGAGACACCATGTAGGTCAAAAAAAACACGGAGGGGAGCAAGCGAACGTTGCACAAACAATAATCCACAACATGATGAGGCATGTTGCTTATTGCTTCGCTGATTAATTACAGGGCAGACGGCGTTACTATGTACCTAAGCAATGGTCGCCCAACTTTTGCAATCCAGGGCTAGGGTGCTCTCACCCAAAATGCCTTGCCGAGCCTTGCCGCTGACTAGATGTTTGTTCCCGGCGAGATGTTCCCCTGGCAGTGTGGGCGCGGGTCGCGTGAGAAAACGGCCATGTTCGGCTTCAGGGTCGAGATGCCATACTTTCAGCGCATTGTAACTTTTTGCTGAATTCCAGAAGCAAATGTTTTGTCAGTCCAAATCACTGTCATGCGTTTCCTGCGAATTCCCTCGAACTCCTGCGAGCCCCCGCGAACTCCTGCAAACCCCTGCGAACTCAGTGCGATGGGGCTGCGACGTTCCAATTTGCATGTTATTCCGACAGGCTTTCAACCCTGATACTGTACTTTCAGCATGCCTTTTCACATGAAGTCAGCTCGAGATGTATGCTCAAACTCTCCGCTCAATGGACATAACGTGAAAAAAGTAAAAAAAATATTGTGTAAAGATTTAGCAGAAACAATAAGCTACTAGGAACAAGTGCATCGCTACTAGTAACAAGTGCCTTACTAGTAGTAACAAGAAAAAACTCCAGCGAACTCCGGGGAACTCCAACGTACCGAACTCCGACGAACCCCGGTGATTTCCGCGACGAACCCCCCCCAGCAAACTCCGACGAATTTCCAACTACGTATATCTTTTTCATTCTTTTTCGGACTTCCAACTTCCAACGGCTAGGAGCTTGCTCAGTTTTTGGAAAGCATGTCCCTCATGGACCTCACGGCCCACCGCTTAACCCGAAGGTAGATCAACCGCCAACTGCGACAATCCAGGCACATTGTGCAACTGAGATGGTGATTAGTGTTTCGCCGAGTTCTTGAAGGCAGCATTGTTGGCAGTCGTTGAAAAGCTGGGCGCCCATCTTCCTTCTTTTTTGTTCGCCCGCAGCCTGGTCAGCCCGTGCTGCGGGAAACAAGCCACCCAGTTGGTTGCTTGTCAGTTCGTGGTTGCGCTCAAACTTCTCAGTGTAGTAGCTTGCCTGTTGAAACGTTTTATAGACTATGGGACTCGGGGAACAGAGAAGAAGTCAGCAGCAAGTTCACTTGGTTAGTGAAGGCTGGGCATACCTTGGTTTGCAGAGAAACTTACGGGTGTTTGTTGGGTACATAGCCTTCTGGTAGGTCATTAGGCAAAATGACACATGGCGTTTATTTTTCCATAGCGTTCGCGTGCTTTGTGTTTCCCTGCCTGGTTTTTGAACCCAAGCGCTTTAAGTTCTCATGTTCAGCTTTTCTGCTTCTGGTCAATCCTTGCAATCCTTGATTCAAGGTTTTTTGGTCCCGTTCATTTTTCACGCGGAAAATCATGAAAATCCCTGCGAACCCGTAACGCTCACGAAAAAAAGAAGAAACTGACTGCGAGCGCTTGCTTTTGCTCGTTCCAGCCATTGTAAACTGGCCAGTGTTGCTTCGACCAGATTGCAGGAACAGCATTGGTGGGCGTGGCAAGCCACAATCCCTAAACACAATAAACTTCGGGCTACAGGTAGCACCAATCAGCATCAAATAAACAGTGTTTAGAAAGGATGCAGACTAGTCACTAGTCATGACTAGTTGAGTTTTAGTTATATGTGTGCTTCTCATGCTTCACCACTCTATTCAGCTTCGTGCCCGCCACGGAATTTTGGGTCTGAGACTTGTGAGACCCAACTTCTCGCGCAGCGCCTTCAAACATCTGGCGCGCGCTCAAGCCGTGCATGGCCATTCGCACGCCCCCTGGCCCAAGAACTTTGAACTTACAGAATGCTTTTGAAGGTTGAGCGAGATGCATCTACTTGAAGCCTGACTCGAGATTCCCACATGGTAACTAAAACTCTTGTCAGGTGAGTTGGGCTATACTCTTTTATGGTGCTAACTGTGAAGAGTGTAACCGACAAATGCATGCCTCCCCAAAAACCATGAACAATTTAGAATCTATAGAAGCAATCGTGATTCTTCCAGCTGACTCAAGTTGTACATGAATGATTCTTGATGATTCTTGGCAATTGGCGATTTGTTCCGAGTCAAAACCAGGAACAACAGGGGCAAGTTGCACTATAATTGGGCCAAATTTTGAAAAATGGTCACAAAAAGTTTGGGTTGGGATCTGTCACGATTCCCCTGTACAAATTGCGGTCCCAAGCTCAGGCAGCCTGTCCCAATGCCTCAAAATTTGGTAGTGACTGGCACTTTCGCAAGATCCCTTCCTCCTTGTCATCCTCCACCTCAATAAATGTATTCCTGATGCGAACTTCCCAACCACAGTGAGGCAATGTCACCGGAGCATAGGATGTCTGGAAGTGAGCCTGTGAAATATCGGAGGCGTCGGATGAACAGCGGCTGAAATGAGCAAACGAGGTCTCCACTCCTTCACACGTTGTTTGCCGACTGAAGGAAGAGTTGCCATCACAATCCCCCTTCCATCCCAAAGCTGATTGAAAAATCAGCTTCAATGCCGCCTGCTCGTAGCCGGATGAGCCATAGGGAATGAAATAGTTTTCGGGTTCGGCGAACTTTGTTTTGTCCTTCTGCGCGCGGGATTTAGTGGATCCTGGGCGCAAATCCTGCTTGCCATGAGCAAACTTGCAACGGCTCCCCTTGGCACAAAATCCGTCCATAAAATCCGCACAAAGCCTGGCAGGGCTTTGAAACGAAACACATCTGACCTCTAAAGTTGCATGATGACCCCATTGATTCCCGGCAGCTTAAATTCAGGCCTGGTCTTGGAGAAGTCAGGCTGTTCCCGCAAATGGCCCATACCATGTGCAAAAGTGCAAGCTGATCCCTTGGCGCATGCCCCAATGGCAAAGAACTTGCACAAACGGGTCCTTGGCACAAGTGTGGGCATCTCTTCGGTAAAAAACATGGAGCCCCCTCGCAAGAATAAACCTGACGCAATGATCACTAGGCTAAGGGATGTTGAGAGCAGTCACACTTCAAACATTGCAGTCACGACTGGAGGTTCTCGGAGGGATGCGTTGGTAGTGGTCTCATAGCACAGTCGTGTTCGCGGGGCCACTGGGGAGAAGGTTGAAGGCACATGTATTCATGGTTGTCTCAGCCATTCATTTGCGAGAACATATTTTACTTATGTTCAGGCTTGCCAAGTGATGAGGCGTATGGCGTATGTGTTGGATGGATGCAAACTGCTTGGAACCTCCGTCCTTCCATTGGGACATTGTAACCACCCACAAGATATGAGCACCTAATCATACCTAATCACGCTACATCACGCTACACAATCAGGTTCAGCAAAGGCTCTGCTTGTGTGCAGCCAAACGCTTGCCTTCCTTCGCTAGCATCACGTCAAGGCCAAGGTCGCTAACAATCGGGCGCCAACAGTTTGAGCTGATTGGCTGATGGCACAGAAAGTTGAAAGAGTAATTTCATGTGAAGAACTTGCATGCCGAATAGGTGACTCATGGTGATTCCAACTTGAGGATTGAACCTAGGTAGATTTGGCACACCACAGCAAAATCACAAAAAGCTTGACACAAACCTGTCAAATTCAATATCCCCAAGTTGAATCCAACACAAAAAAGGAAGCGCATGACCAACCTGCATTCGAGGTATCTCCAAATCCGTGCAAAACACGTTGCCTCAGCTGGTCAAATCCAGCGGCCTCGGCGGCCTCAGCCTCATAACCTGCCCTCCCTCACTCACTCACTCACTCACTCTTTCTCTCTCTCTCTCTCTTTCTGTCTATCTCTTCCCTCTCATCTTAAGTCCGTCGACGCTAAAGGAATGCTCTCCTCCGGTGACCTGCACAAAGTATCATTTTCCAAAAGATATGGCAAAAGTGCGAGCAATGTTATTGCAAAGCTGATTGAGGCGCTTGCGTGAAGCCCATCTTGTAGCCTCAGCTTCTGTGATGGAAAGTCGCGATGTTAACTGTCATGGAAGAACTGAGTCTATGACCGCAAGACACGTTCCTTGGGTCGTGCGCACGTCGCGCGCCAAGCGTTATGAAATATTGGGTGCTCCCCTTACTGTGGATCGGCATTTAAAAAGGGAAGGAGCGAAGCTCTGGCATATTATCAAGAGCATCCCGACCAAAGACGTTGGTAGATTGGTAACAATTTTGGTGGATCATTATGGTTGCATGACAAAACAATCTATGAACATCACGCTCCTGAAACCGGTGCGTCTTCAGGGCAAATCGTTCAGCTCAGCTTCCGATGCGTCTCAGTCTCAGCCTCTGCGCTGCGACCTCCCATGTCCACATGCAATGCCGCCCAAGGTAGAAAGCCTCAAGATGTGCGAGCTCAAGCTGAAAGGTCAACGAGCTTCCTGATTCTGCACATTGCATGGCCTTCAGCCTTCATGTTGTTTCTTAGTTTCAGGTGGCAATGACATGCCAAGCTACTTGCAGCTTCGAAGTTGACCCAGCATCATTCCACCAATTTCAACAGTTTCGCCGTACGCCTTTACAAGTCCATCTTTTTGGAGAATTCGGCTCCAGTTCTGCCAATGACCGGAACCAAGGAGCTGTTGCGGCAAGCAACCAGGTTGTATCTGCGCACAGGGATCGGCCGCATTGAGCGGTTGGGGACACGCCCTCAAAACCTTCTTTGTGTGGGGGCGCTTGGGCAGCCATTCTCTTTTAGCTGCTGCACCGTTGTGACCGTGTCTTCTCTTGATATGACTGCCACTGGCACTGCGGTCATGATGTTTGGTAGGTTGTTGGCATAGCAGGGCTGCACCATCACCCCTGTCACCCAAGTCCACGAAGCCCCACCTTGGCATGTTAATGCCTTGCTTCGGCGTGTTTGCTGACAAGAAGGCCAGTTCTGGTGCTCCAGAGTCACCGGCCTCAGAACATCTCCCTGTAGGTTTGACCAGTGCTTTGCGGTGAATCTTCTGCTAGGGGCGCGGCGGAACAACTCTGGTGAGCCTGGGGTCAAGCTGAATTGTTCTCCCAATGTTCCTCTTCTGTATAATAACATCTAATTACAAAAAAGAGGGAAAGAAAAGAATAAAAGGTCTAGAGGCTAAAGAGAAAAACGAAAGGACAGAAGATGAAGAAGATATATAACTTAACACAATATAGTAGCGTCTGCTTCTGGCATAGACCGCAGCCTCTGGACACTCAGTGTAGTTGTACTGAGGAGCTTCCTTGGTATTGCACGGATCTGGTTCTCTTGAATTGTCAAATCGGTCAGAAAGCGCTCACCCTGGCAACTGGTCAGGGCGTTTCACATCGAAGTGTAGAACTCAAACGGGTCCACTGCAGGCATGTTTCAGCAGAGCTCTTTTTGACCTTGGCTGCTTGGTGATGCTTTTTTGCAAGCTCTGCATGAAAGACTTAAGAACTGCATGTCCCTCACCAGGTCCCCACTGCATGTCATGTCACCTACCAAATCTACCAACAGCACAACCTGTTCTTTTCTCAGCTTGGCCTTAAAGCCATTGGTCTCATTGGTCTTGCTTGTGGACCAACGAGTTTAAAAAGTGGGAGCATCAAGATATACCGTGACCTTCGGCACCGATGATCAAAGCTGGAAGCTTGGAGTAGACTTTGAAATCTCGAGTTCCTCCGGATTCATGTCGGCACTGATGGATGCAAACAATGGTGTGGACAAGTATCGCTCACCTGTGTCTGCCAACATCGCCAGCAACACGGAGCCCTCAGGGGCCTTTTTGGCCATCTCGACTGCTGCATACATCGAGGCCCCTCCAGAAATCCCGGTGAAAATGCCCTCCGACTTAGCTAGTTGCTGAGACATTTGGATGGCTCCATCACCAGGAATTGGTACAAATTCGTCATAACCGGTGCTTGCAATGCCAGCCTCGGTGATCAAGGGAATAAAGTCCGGTGTCCATCCCTGGATGGGATGTGGCTTGAAAGCCGGATGGGAGCCGGTGGCCGAGCCATCTGGATTACGTTCACTCTTCTGGCCAGAGGCAACTAGAGGAGCATCAGCAGGCTCACCCAAACAAATCTTGATGTCCGGACGCTTTTCCTTCAATGCCTTGCCAGCACCGCTGAAGGTGCCGCCCGTACCATAGCCCAGCACATAGTAGTCCAGTTTCATGCCAGCAAAATCGTTCAAGATCTCCTGCCCGGTGGTATCATAATGAAACTGGGCGTTGGCCTCATTCTCAAATTGCCGGCACAGAAACCACCCATGTTTTTCGGCCAGCTCCCTTGCTTTTGCAACCATGCCACTGCCCTTCCCTGCTTTGGGTGTGATGATCACTTTTGCCCCCAAGAATCGCATGAGCTTTCGCCGCTCGATGGAGAAGGGCTCCGCCATGGTGATGACACACTTGTAGCCGCGCTGTGCACACATCATGGCCACTGCGATGCCCGTGTTTCCTGAGGTCGCCTCAATGACCATGTCCCCAGGCTTTAGCTTTCCTGTCTTTTCGGCATCCTCAATGATCGCGCAGGCCAAACGATCCTTCACAGAGGACAGTGGATTAAAATATTCCAACTTCGCGTAGATCGTGCGACCTTGGGGGCAAATGGCATCTGAGATTTTCACACAAGGAGTGTTGCCCACTGTCTCGGTAATGTTCGCATAGACCCGGCCACGGCCTTTGCCACGGTCGCTCAGGCCAGTGGCGGACGAGCCGGAGACTCCCATGGTGCGAAACTTTCTAAACTTTCTATATACTCTCCAAGTTCTCCAATCAACTTGAGCCGTACACCATGCCATGGTCGGGTCGGGTTAACATGATCACAAAGAACCATAGAGCTAATCGAACATGAAACAAAAGGTGGACAAGTAAATGGGGACCCGTGGGATTATTGTGGGAGCACCAGTGCTTATGATTGTCCATGGGATGGCCTGATTGAGTGGTCGAGATTGCTGGGACTTGCTGGGATCGAGGCCGGAGGCCATGCGCCATAGTCAAAGGGAAGCTCCTCCTCGTCCACTCTTAGATTGCAGTCGCCGGTGTATTCGATGCCTACCTGCAATGAATCGTGGCCCCAAGGAACATAACGTCGGTCTACTGTTACGAAGCAATTTGAGAGCACGTCTGAGCGACTGTCTGAGGGTTGTCAGGCAATTTTTTCTCAACTGTCGAAGGATGGAAGTCAGAGTCATATTCCAATCAAGGTAGCCACTGGAAGCAAAGCGACTTGCAGCGCATGCACCTCTTGTACAAAGCACCGAGCTTCCTCCCAGCGCTCTGCCGACCAGCGCATAAGCTCCTCCTGAGAGCTGTTGGTCTTGATACGGCTGCAGACCTGTAATATCCTGTAATGAACCACGGGATTAAAAAGCTCCATGGTCCCCGATTTCGGCTTTCAACCGGTTTCTTAGCACTCGGGTGCCTGTAGCTAGGACCTGCGAACTCTGCCGCTAGCCCGTCAATGCTTGGATGTCCGGCCTGGTCCCACTCCTGAGTCCTCTGCCGGCCCGATAGCCCGAAAAGCCTGGAGGCTCAACCATGCTGACCGCTTCATAAACGAAGGAGTCTCGCAAGAAAGAGGTTTGGCCCAATACATTGTGGCCGAGTGTCAGTGCTGCGGCTGCGATGAGGAAAGTGATCCCTCATGGCCACAAAACATTGCACAAACAAGCATGCCAAGTTTCCACAATCACAACCTCTGAGCCACTGGGCCACTGACCAAGAGCAAATATCTCTCGAGGGCTCAAAAGCTCCTGAAACGTTGTAGTCCAGCTGGACTAAAATCCAGCTGGACTAAAACCTTTCCAATTCATGCCTGCTGCCAAGACTCGAGTAGGAAAGGGCAGCAAGCATAGCAAAAAGCAGTGAGCCTGCCCTTGGCCATGCATGCCTCGGCACAAGGCTGATCCAGAACCCCATGTCCGCTCTAATTCTGAGGTTGTAGGTCATGACACACTCCTTCAATATGACAACTACATGTAACAATGAAATTAGGCCAAACTGCTTGAGCTTCTGGTCGTCGTTGACGCCAACATCCAATCTCAACTTTGCGGAGTAAAGGTGTTTTGCTGGCCCTTTGCACTGCACCCACTTAATGAAAGCAACATCTTGCAAGGTCCCTCAAGCGAATGAAAGTAACAAAAGAAACCAACTTGAGGCGTAATATGGCGTAATCGTATTCCTGAAGCGGTCCCGCAAATTTCTGCTTTGTATTGACTTTCGTTGCCAGAACCATGACTTACAATACCTTGCAGCTGTGCTCTGAAGCTGGACATGGCAGGCAGTGTTGGTTTTGATGCAGCTCCAGCTAAGCCAGGTGGCTGCGAAAAAATGGATAAGTTTTAAAATGCAACCAAAGTTAGACGCTAGGAGCCTCTGGTTTGGGCGATTGTGTGCCTCTGTGTTCCCACTTTCTGGAAGTGACCAACGGCGGTAAAATCAATTCTCCAAAACCATAGGCCTCCTGCGCTGTGTATGCTTTCGGCATGTCGGGTCAACATCGCCCCTGCATGCGGTGTCTCCATCTTGTCTCACGTTGTTGACCTGAGGGGTCGGCCTCGTGGACCCGTCGACGCCTTCAACGTTTGCTCCCGATTGTGGCGTTGGGTGCGCGTGCTGCCTCCGAGCTCACAGCCCAAGCCGTCCTCGCTCACTGTCGGCAGTTTTCTTTGTAGGGCCCCTCGCGCCCAGTGCCACCGACCCCCCAAAAAGGGTGGTCCTAGTGCTTGGGGGGGGGATCTCTCGGTGAGATTGTAGCCACAGACCCTGTTGCTTTGAGATGCCTCGTGCGATCCGGTTAGTCATCATCGCTGACAATGTCCCAAACAAGGCATCCTTTCAAGAGTTTGTTGTCTGTGTGAAGCCCTTGGAATCACAGGGGTCCGTTCGGCTAACTTTCAGTGCAGGGGGCAGTAGCCCGCTCATGAGCCTACTGCCAACGAAGCTGCTCATGAATTGGGAGGATATTGGAGCTGATCACTCCGACGTACCTTCATTCCAGTTTGCGGCGCTTTCACGCTGTTACTCCAAGTTCCCAGTAAAAGGTTAATGCATTCTGCAAATGTGAGCGTCCGTCGTCATTTTGTCCTGTTCGTCGCTTCGTGGTTTCTGGACTCTGAACCTTTGGCAATGACCAGCGATGACGTCCAGGATGCTCAGAATCCCCTACGTGTTTTCTTAAGGAACCTTTGTTCACCTAGGCAGCCGTGTGGCATGAAGCATTCACTTCAGTACGGTCTTTTTCCCGGGCGTGTCTGGCCTTCGTGCCAGCCCAGGGTGAGCCAACGGAGTGCCCCCGTGGCCCCGTTGAACGGGGGTTGTCCATGTCCCTGCACCGGGACCAAAGTAGCCCACAGCGCACGAAGGAGCCTTAGAGCAAAGGTCAACGAAGACCTGCTGAGTTACCGGCCCTGGGTCGCCTTAGGGCATCCACAGCGGACTAGGCAGGCTTAACGCCACGAGTAGATCTCTCAAGGCCCAGTGGGGCCTGTCGGAACCTGATGTGCACACACAGCGTCTACACTAAAAACCAGGCTAGGTCCTCTTAGGTCTTAGGTCCGCCTTAATGAGGTTTGGGTTCGTTGTTTTTTGGCCCCTCCATTTGGTTCCCCTTTCATCCTTTCCCCTGTACACACACTTTCTTCCTTTTTCGTATTTTGTTTTCATGTCTTCTCCGCCTTCATGTCCTGTCATCTCATTTTTTGCCTTCTTCTGCGCGCACATCGGCCCACAGTTACATCCAACCCAGGTTTCAGGTCGCCCAAGTTTTGATAAGGAGGTCTGGCTCACCGGTTGTCCCTGTTCACTTGGTTTTCCGTTCATTGCCACCCCACACACACTTGTATTGCCTTGTCTCCTTCTCATGTCTTCGTCTTTTTCCCTTTTTGCGCGCACACGCGCTTCAGTCTGTCCCTCAGTTTTTGACCCTTCATGCGGGGCGTGCGTGTGAGACCCTTGGAGTCACACACGACTGTTCGGTTAACTTTCATTGCATGAGGCAGTAGCCCACTCATGAGCTGCTCATGAGTTGGGAGGATATCGGAGGTGATCACTCCGACGTACCTTCATTCCAATTTGCGGCGCTTTCATGCTTCTTTTTGTACAATACGACATACTTTAGAGCAGGGGGAGGAGCACCATTGCAAGCCTCCTGCCAAAGAAGGCACTTGCAAGTGGTGGTGAAACCGGACCTGATCAGTCTGGCGTACCTGCTTTTGAACACATTGACATTATTGACACCACTGGTCCGCCCTCGCCTCGTTCAGGCTGTTTTCAAGTTTTTCAGGCGTTGTAAAGTGCTACTGGGTTCTGCAGACTTGCACGGATCGTCGTCACCTTGTCACTCGCTCGCTCGATGACTTGATTTCAATGTGCTGTTCAAGATGATCAATTTGGTTGACCTCCATTCCATTTCAGGTTCTTTTGCCTGCGCTCTCACAGGAATCTGGTCACTTAGGTTGCCGTGCACCGACTGGCTTTCAATCTCCGCACGCGTTTCCTATATGTGTGCGCGCGCTCTCGACATGAGACATGGTCAGATCAAGCCCTTCAATCATCCGTGGCATCTGGCTCATGCGGTGTTCCGGATTCGTTGGTGTTCCTGTTTGGTCTGGTCTTCATGGTGCTTTTGTGAGGGGCTTTGTGGCGCAAGTATAGTGGCGGTCTTTTGGTTTTGTTGTCTGTTTGTCTCTCTCCTCGTTGTCTCGCAGCCAGTTCTTCAGTCCAGTATATGCGTTACCTTTTGGTTGATGGTTTTGGGGGTTCAGCTGCGCTTACTATGTTGATATAAAATCACACCATACACACAAATAATCTTGGCAAACCGCGGGCGGATGATTCCAAAAGAAAAAACTTTGGGCACAAGCGCATCGTCTGGCGCGATGTTTTTCGCGGATGCCTCTGGTTTCTGTGTGGTCAACAGGGACACACACTGCACACGAAAGATTCATTAGAATCCAAACGGATGTACATCTCACAGGCCTGTTCTCCTGCACATTCAAAACACTGTTGTGGACTTTGCACTTCGTCCACGCGCAGCTTCTTTACCCGCCCAGAATGATACATCTTCGGGTTGTACGTTGCATTGCGCATAGAGCCAGCTATAGCCAGGAACCACACACACAAAAGCAAGGTTCACTTCTCTCGAATCCTTTTGCGTCTCCGCGCGAAGCTGGTTCCCGCAAAAGGCGCAGTGATTGCTTGGATCCCTTTCTTGCCTTTCGATTGGGGCTTCCAACGCCATGTTTTCTTTGAAGCTTCCAAATCGTCATCATCCAACGGACATTGCGCCTCAAACATCATTTGGGTCTGGCATGTGGCCGCGCACCAACAATTACCCCCCGACCAGCGACACGTCGCGTTCACACACACACACACACTTAGATAGAGAGCTCAAGTCAATAAGCAGAATTTCAGAATTTCAATCATTGGCTCACCGCTCACTGGCCCTTTACAGTCTAGTTAGTGCAAGAACGACCTCAAAAGACCTGGCAATGGCCCTGTACTCAACGGAAAGGTGAGAAGAAGTCGGCAACAACAAAGTTTAAATCATTGACCCGAGAGAAGATGGATATGGCCACCAGCTGCGTCTCCAGGTGCACCAACGCAGGTACGTTTTCACAGGAAAAGTGCAGCGTCTTCGCTGGTGACTGCACGGATCCCCAGCGACACCCTGCTGAATGAGAAGCCGCTGTACTCAGTTGAGTGTGAAACTCTTAGATACAGAGTGGGACACACACACACACACACGTGGCGCGCGCCGGCGCTCGGTCATAGTTTTTTCCGAAAAGAAAGCGCCTACATTCGCTCGCGGAGTGGCCTTTGCTGATGTACAGTTGGTGAGGTCGTTGACAGCCGCGCCAGCTGCTGCTGAGGGTGGATAGGTGATAAGTATAATGTTGGATAGAAGGGATTCGGGAGGCAAGCCCGGACAACCGCTTGTGCTTCCGGCTGATGTGTGGTCGCGGATCTTCCACAAGGATGAGGGCTGGATGTAAGTGATGGTGCGTGTAGTGAGGAGATGAAAGTCATCAACTGACTCAAGCTCAATCGGGCTGCCACGTCTGCAGGCTACCACCTCAGAGCCTCTTGCCGTGGCTCATCGTCTTTCATTGATGAGCGGTTGGAGACACACACGTGTTTCCCTTCCCCCGCCACAAAAACATACTTACTGCCAAGGGCGTGCCAATCCACATGGCACAGCGACATCACGAATGTAATTTCGCTGCACCCTGTGCCACAGAGGCTCACAGAGGGGGGGCTCCATGGCAGCGACGCGGTTACAAACGACACGTTTGTAATTCCCGTTCACAGCGACGCCGCGTTACAAACGCATGCTTCCTTTCCCCCAATGGCACGGAGCCACACAAACGCACTCTCCATCATGCCAAGCCGTGGCACATCACGGATGTAACTTCGCCATTTTTCTGCACTAGCTCAAAGTTGCAAGTTCTGATCCCAGAGCTCCCGAAAGCTACCGCCTGCCCAAGGTGTGCGCTACAAAGTTGCCAGTTTCAGGCCCACTCCCAGAAACTGCTTCCCGTATCACGCTTGCGCTGCAAAGTTGCCATTCTTGAAGCTCCAAGAAGCTGGAGCAGCTTCCCGCCCTACATGTGCACTACCAAGTTCCCGGTTCTGAGCCCGCCCTGATTGTCGACGACAGCACTTACACGCTTTGGCAATGTGATTTCCGGCGACAGTTGCGCACGAAACTTCCAACGAAAAGCTACGCTAAGCCTGCCACGCAGCACGCGCCGGAACCACGCCGCAGGGAGCGTCTCAAACAGCTAGCTTTCACAACCGTTGCCGCACACATTCTCTGAGAAACGTTGGGGTTCGCACAGCGCCTTACATTCATTCAACCATCCAAATTTCCCCACGCCTGCCACAGAAAGTGCACGTGTGGACTTAGCCCGCTCTTCACTTAATTATTGTCTACGCTAACTCTTGAACTTAGCTATTTGTCTATGCTAAGTATTGCCTGCGCCTAACTGTTGCCTGAGTTTGTTTTCATAACTACGAACGTTTATAACTAAACTTTCATTGATAACATGTAGTTATGAACTGGTGGAGTGTGGATCCATGCCTGACTTGGCCTCCTGTTCGTCACATCAGCACCCATGAAACTGACAATGCAGTTCAGCAGGTTCTTTCTCCCTCACTGTTCCATGGAGCAAACGGCGGTCACAAAAGTCGTCTTTTGCAAGGCTTCGCTCGCTTCAAAGGAAACAGGCCAGGTTGGCCATGTATGACGACTGCTTCCCCCATCAACCAGGGCAACCAAACGGTTGCATGCTTAATCTGTACAAACTGCCTGTCTTGAGACGGCGCAGACGGGTGTCTCTGGCTGTCAAAAACTGCCCAGAAACGCATGGAGCCAAACATGTTGCCACATTTTGGCACGTGCAAACAACCTATTTGTTGCCGGAAGCTGAGCCAAGCTACTGCCTTTCGAAACGGCAAACGACAGTCCTGTTTCTCCTAAGGACGGCACGGAGAACACCACCGGCTATTTCATGCAGCTCACTCCTTCTCAGGCTACTCTGACCTGTCACGCACGGAAAAGCTTCGACATGCACCCTTCTTGATGGGCATACCACCCAGTGTACAGCGCACAAGGCGTGTTTGCCATCCAAACACGCGCAGGCATTGCATTCTTGGCCTGTGGGTGGCCCTTGGGACCTAAGTACTTGTCAAAGAGGAAGAACCCCTTTGATCTGCCATGTTACTCTACCATGATAGCCCATGTGTCCATTTTTTTGGTATTGGGTGTCCTTTTCCTGGCACACGTTTGGCGGGTTCTGAAAGGCAAAGGGAACACCAATGCCTATGTCTACGTCCCAGGAAGTGCTGCGGCCACTGCTCAAAGTCACGTTGAATTTCAGCTGCGGTCGATCTTCTACCTCTACCTCGCGACGGCACACTGAACATGAAGGCTTTATGATGACGGTACATGCACATGCAAAACTGCAAAGTCCTGCGCTCTTGTTTATGACAATTCCTGCGCTGTTGTTTAGGGTGTTAGGCTGCAGGCCCCTTCAGGTAACAAAGCAGTATCAACCCAAACATCTCGATGGAACTTCTCCTGGCGCCAGCTTCCAGGGGAATCGAGTGATTTGAACGACTCCCTCTGTTTGAACTGGCTTCTCCAGGGGTCCTGGATCTCCGCACATGCGATGAAGCCATATCCATTCTTGCCGCTGAGCGACTTCAATGAACCAACAAACTCCTGACTTGACTTAAAGCGTGAAATATCGCAACTCCCCTCTAGGGACATTGAGTTGTGAAAGAACGCAAGACACGTGGATGATGTACAGTATGTACACTCAACATGGAATTTGTGCAACCGAGCACCCTAGCCAGATATAAGCAATACTCTGCTTTACTGTTTGCTCGTCCTACTCAATCCTTCCAGTTTATCCTTGTTTGGAAGTTTTTTGTCCTTGTCTGGAGGCGGAGCTTCAGCAACAACTACAGTTGTTGGCTTCTCCTTCGGTTCTCATTGGAAGCTCTTCTGAGAACACAAAATCAGAAGGACAACTCGCGTGAATAGTTTGCTTCTCCTGCGTCTTGCCTTTACCCTTGGCTTTGCTCTTGCCTTTGACAAAAACCCGCACACTCGAACAGAAAAGCATCAGCGCGCTGCCAAGCATTGCGCACCCAGCCTTTTGCCTTTCCCTTTGCCTCTTCCTTTGACGCAGCTGCCACCTGCAGGGCCCGATAGCTATACTTGCCAAACACCTCCGATAATCCAATTCGCGACTCATGCACGCCTGGGACTGGAGGGCAAACAATTGAGCTTGCTGCAGCGCTGCAATGGCATTGGGATCCACTTGGCCATGCCCCTGGCACTTGGCCGTTTGGACAAAGGAGGACTCCCACTCTTTCTCAGGAAGAGTGGGATGTTGAGTTTCACCACAATCATCAGGCCTCCCACTTATATATATATATAATGTCAACCTCTGATTAATAACCCACCCCCACATGGTAGGTCAACAAGGTCAAGAAGGTCTGAGATACCACTCATGAGGTCCACCTCCCCTGAATTATCGGGTCAGGGAGCCATCGTAGTCGCAGTCGTCGTCGGTAGTAGGTAGTAGGTAGTAGGTCCTAGGTGGTAGTAGTAGGTAGCAGGTAGTAGGTAGTAGGTAGTAGTAGGTAGTAGGTAGTAGTAGTCACAACAAGTCTAAACAAGCACAAAGAAAAGGCCAGGGACACAGGATCAAATTAATAGGGGGTAGTAGTGCAGATTATTGATGGGGGACCGGCCCTTGTGAGGGGTACCTTTTGTGAGTTTGTCAAATGATTGGTTTTAACTTGAGAAGGAGGGGGTCAACGAAAGGTAGCAGGCAATCACAAGTAACCCTGGTAGAAGTCCATGACGGCGTGAACCGGCGCAGGGGGGATTTGATCCAGGGGGCCCCCCCCCCCCGACGAACAGAATCAACTCTTACAGGACCAAACTCAATGCACAATCCCAACTCCTGATTGTAATACATGTTTGCTAAAGCAAGGAGAACTCAGGTAGCTCAAGCTACCTTTCGTGATTGGTTTTTAATAAGGCAATTTATAGGCCCTGAGCCCTAGACATTTTTAAGGAGTTCATCAAACATGTAGAAGGTAGTAGGTGGTGATGGTGGTGGTGGTAGTAGCACGTAGCAGTAGCAGTAGCAGTAGCAGAGCAGGAGCAGCAGCAGCAGCACAATAGCAATAGCTAGTAGCAGTAGCAGTAGTAGCAGCAGCAGCAGCAGTAGTAGTAGCAGCAGTAGCAGTAGCAGTAGCAGTAGCAGTAGTAGTAGTAGTAGTACTACGAAAATTGACCTGGTTGTGGGCTCGGATTAACTGGGGGGGGGTTCTGATGCCCAACTAGAAGATTAGGGGGGAAATAGGCACGAAACATACTTTTAATTTGAGCAATTTCTGGTGGGTTTGTGTCTTCGGATTAACTAGGGAGGTTTATTAATCGTAACTTGACATTATATATATATATCCAACCTAGCTGGGGCCCACACTTTGTGAGCCTCAGCTTGCGGCATCATAGACATAGCCTGGCCATCAGAAAAATGCAAGCTGCATCTTGCATCACGCAGCCATGCACCGCGCCATAGAAAATCCGTTGAACATGTTGGGAGATCCATACCTGGGCTTGAAAGGATGGGATAGGCAGGACTCAATGCGAGGGCCAGGTCCAGCCAAAATGTCGATACGTGGTTTGGAACTGAAGGCATTCTGCGCTGAGTGAATGGCATTGCGTTATACACAGCTCCGAGATCATATCCGTACGGATTCGTCATGCTGTACTCGTAGAAGCCCGCTCTGCGTCGGAGGCGGAGCCGTTTCTTTATCTGTCTTCAAACGGCGAAGGACCATGTTGGATTGCGTCATCTGAAAACAAACTATATAACTACCAACCACGCCCATCAAAAAAAGCGCCATGGAAAACAAAGGACTAAGCCCTGCACGGGTACCCCATGCCGGCCCTAACACGTTGGTGTGAAATGTCTTTGCAGGGGCTGCTTGCAAGGAAATCATAAACGGTATCCACCAACCCCAGCCGAAGTAGCAGGGGAGCGCGCAAGGGAATAGTTGAATAAAGAGGATTGTAGGTTGCGGAATTAGATGCACTGGATGTTGCAAGTAAATGGTACTGTACAAGTATTCCGGCAGGTGGGCAAAGAATCTCAATAGTAACAGGTGCCAGCCTGAGAAACGTTGGAAAAGGTTGTCAGACAGGCTCCAAACGTCGGGAGAAGAGAGAAGGGAGAATAAACCATGTATAACGGTTTCGCACGTTACCTTTGGCACCGCGTTGGTTTTAGTTGAGTTCTTCGAGATGGTTTTGGTGCAGAACTGGATGGTGCAACACTGCCTGGCAAGAAAGCAAAGAAGCTCAACACCTACACGTGGTCCTTGCTGGGCAAAAGGCAAAGAATGTACGTGGTTTGTTTATGTATTTATATATATATATTAGATGAAGCAAGAGTTTCTGGGTAGGGGTAGGGGTGGGGGTTGACATCGCCCTGGTGTAGTCTTGAGGATGGTTTCGGTGCAGAACTAGATGTGGTGCAATCCTATTCAGCCACAACATCTTCATCCTCTTCGCTGCAAAAAGGATGTGCTCAAGCTCACTAAGGCTCAGGCATAGGGTCTGCTTGGCCTGCAGAGCGTGCGGTGTAGTGAAGAAGTTGTAACCCTTGGCGCATTGGCTGCTAGGTTCCATGCCATACCAGTATGGGCTCTGAAACGTATGTGCCTGGCACTTTGGTCTCCCAGCCGGTGTCTGTCTCGCGCGCCTCTCTCTCTCTCACTCTGCATTTATAGCATCTCCTCACTGTGAGAGATGTTTCCTTGCCTTGTTCTTGCCTTTTCCTTTTCCTTTGCCTGAAAGGCCACTCGAAACAAATTCATTTACGAGTCTGTTTCGGCCGCCCCTACCAGCCCCACCTTCACCCTTTCCGTCACGCCGTTCCACGATCCGGACCTTGGTTATTGTTCGGGCAATGCTTCCGGAATGCTGAGGATTTTGCAAGCACATGCTGCCACCACCATCCCCTGGTTGTACATACTAGTAGTGGAGCAACATCACCATGTTGCAACTTGGGCAGCATCTATCAAGGCCGCTGCGCTGAGGGCCCTCTCCTAAAGCCCAAGGTGATTCTGGCATTGATTGTAGCGAAATCTGTCTAAACAACTCTAAGCCCGTCAATCCAGCATCCTAGCTGGGAAAACGCGTGAAACACCCTCGCCCAATGAGCAGCAGTCGAAAGCCAGCTGTCCTCTAGCACTTTGGCCTTGGCTTGTCGCGGCGACTCTTGGACATCACGACGCAATGAAGATCTTTCTAAGCAAGCTGCATTCATCTCTGAGGCCGCCTTCTCTGCTTCGGCCTGTGTCCTTGGGCTAAAGAAGTCAAAACAACCAAAGGTGTCAAGAGATGTCTGGAACAAAGGCCCGGGCGCGAAACACACAAAGCCGACCCCTTTGCAGGTGCCATCAGGGTTAGTCTTCACCTGCACCTGGCCAAGATGCAAGCGTGATAAAAACGAAAGGAACCTGAAGGACCTGTAGATTTCACAGGCCTCGTCCTAAATCTTTGTGGTCATAGTTATATAATTATGATAATTATGCAACATGTATATATGTTGGCTGTTCCGTCTATTCTGGCATGATAAACCTCCTCAAGTGAACGTTGCATGGGCAAACGCTGCGTGTGCCTCAGTGATAGTCCCAAAGCTCTCGAAGAGGCCTCGCAGGTCCTCGTCACTGCAACCTCAGCTTGGCAAACGAAAGTTGCAAAAAGAAAAATGGACGGGGCTACATTGGGAGTTGAAGTTCTACTTGACGATTTCATTTGGAGCTGGGTTGCGTTGCGCGTCGATCTTGGTGGAAGACAAAAGATTATACCGATGTCATCCCTGGCATGACACCGTGTCATCCGCAAAGGGAAACGATGCATACCACAAAGCAATACATGCACAATGCACCGCTTTGTCAGGCACAATGTCACAATATGAGCGGATATCGTCCCTGGCATGACATGAGGTCATCCCTGGCATGACATGATTTCATTTCATCCCTGGCACCTGCACCAGCACCTGCACCCGCACGCCCCAAGCAAACGCCGGTAGCACAAGCACACACGCGCCAGCACCCAGCACGAGCACCCGCACCAGCACGCCCAATCAAAACACGGATCCAGCACCAGCACCAGCACGGGTAAAACAAAAACGCCGATAGCTTGCAGCTATCTGGGAAACAAAGTACAGGATCCAGGCAAAAAAAAAGTGCCCACTTTGTAGCATGTACCTGGGGAAATTACGTTGACGTGTTGCTGTCCCTCACGCTCTCTCCATCTCCAGCGGGAGCTTCTTATTCCAATAAGTCTTATACTATATATACATTGCTCGTAGCGGATGCCCCAAAATGATCCCATGCAACATGTATTTCCACAGCCAATGATCGAAGTCCACCTCGACCCAAGCTAAAAATTCAACAATAATCTGACGCCTGACAAGTTGCTCGAAGTCAAATTCTTGACATTCACCCTGACTGATTGTGGCGCTGCTTCTCCTAAAATTTCCAACGCCCCCCACATTGCCCAACAAATTCAGGCCGATGAAGTCCTACTGGTTGTTCCAACTGCAGCAGCTGAGCTGAAGGGTGTTCCTCGGTCCTTTCTGCGAGCCTGAAGCTCCTCCATTCGCCACGGCTTCAGGCTCCTTGAGGCGTTTTTGATTGTGTTTTTTCCGCGTGGTTTGCCGGACTGGTGGAGCGGTTCGAACGGTTTGGCCGTTCACACAACTCATCAAGGTTTCTAAGGAGAGCTTCAAACATGCTGCTGAGGTACCGCCATGGCACGAGGCAAGGGCCAACCCTTCGATGCTCCGACAAGTGTAAGAATCCAGTGGTCTTTGGGTGGTAAGGCTGCACAGCTGCACAGGTGTAACGTGACGGCTGGAAACTCTTCAAACTGTGAGGAAGAGTTGTCCGAAAGATTCTGAAAGCAAAATGAACATGATTACAAGTTGTCTGCTGCGTGCTTTGTGGGCACAAGGCTTGGACAAAAGGACATGCATGGGAAAGGTTCTTGACAACAGGCTCGCGACAGCTACCTGTGCGCCCGTCCCAGGGCCACCGCCTCCGCCTTGAAACCTGAAATGCTACAATTGCGTGCGTCCCAATACCGGTACACCCTGAACGATGAGTTTCAGTATTGGTTTGTCCCTGTGTGAGCAAGTTCCAGTATGGGAGTGTTTACAACCTTGAATTAGAGTTGAAAACACAATCTTCCAAACACTCCCCTCTCAAAAGCCGTACAACGCAGCTCGCGGACGTTTCACCACACATCGATGGGTTCCCGAGCGACCTTTGTGACCGGCAGGCCTTGTGCCTGCCAGGCCTTGAAGCCGCCGCGCAATGGTCGGACGTCCCTGGCGAAAGCTCCGCAACGGCGACGGTTTTTTCAGCGTCACACGACCACCTGGTGGAGGCTTTCCCGGAGGACAACCTGGTGGTGGTGGTGGTTTTCCTGGAGGTCGACCTTCTCTAAAGTTTGGCCGACAAGTTTACATGGTGTCGGTGTGACACTGGTATCGGGGCACCAAAAATTGCAAGCAACCAGAAGCAAAAAGGTTCACCTGTGAACATGTTCTCAAAGCAAAGTGGCTTCGCTTCTTTTCACAGCGGCCTTCTCGGTCGCAGGGCCTGTTGTTCAAAGGCCTGCTGTGCTACCTATGGCGGCACGGTTGAAGTAAGGCAGTGGCCAAAAGGACTGACCTGTATGGTCAGTTGGCAAAAGGGTTCCCTGCGAGAGCAGGGCACGTGAATGCATGGATCTTCGCTGTAGTGAGCATTGGACTTCGTCACAAGCTCGTGCCAAGACATGTCCGGCTTCAGCTCTTCCAATTCCTCTCCCTCACTCAAGTTGCCCTCCACCTTTGCGAGCTGCCGCTTCTTCTTGGCCGCCAGAACAGAGGGTCATAGCGAACCACCCATTGCTGGCCATTTTGAAGGAAGCGTTGCACCATTTCAGCAGCACTTGCCTTGGTTAGAGAGTCGGCAAGTTGTGCCTCTGAACTCACCCAGAGCAACATTGTCCCTTGATGTTGCAGATTCTCGGTGACCGCCAACAAGGTGAGTCCCGCATATATCTTTTTCAAAGAGAACCCACTGCTTGCCCCATCTCCTTTCTTGATGGCGTCGTACGCCGATTTGGCGTCGATGATCAGGGCAGCTTGGACTGAAGAAGTTGTCCTGTCAGGGAAGCGAAGATCCAAGGGCCAGCCGAGAAGTTCACACCACTCAGCTCGCACAAACATCATATTCTTGGTCTCCATCATCAAGAGCTTGGATCTCGGCCGAGGGGATGAGCGCGCAACACGCCAACAATCCCACGGCTGCCGTGGAGGAAATCCTTGCGGACCATTCCAATGAGATATCCTCCGGTTGACTCACGCTTGGGCCGGTTTCCGGCCGCAGCATCGGTCCAGCATGCGAACGCAATGCCGGTGTCAACCTGGGTTCCGACAGGCTTCATGCCCACTGACTGAAATCGTTGAGCATATGTCTCACGAACCAGCTTGTTGATCTGGTGGACTTTCCTTGTCTCCTGGAGGCAGCGCACTCTGCAAAAGGCTCAGGCGGGCCTGGCGTTGTGGCCCAGTTTGACCAGCCCTCCATTGGATTGCACCAAGTATTGCTCTTGCTTGGGCACGTTCCTTGTCGGTGGGTGGTCTTGGTAGTGGAGGAGTCGATGGTCTCTTCCACATAGGTGTGGCCAACTGGAAGCCAAGTCTGGAATTTGTTCCACCTGGATGCCACAGTGCACAAATGGCGCGTTGCACAGAAAGTGGCTACTGTAGTGTCCCACTCAGGGTTGCCCACTTCTCCACTGATCAAGAAATCATCCACGTGAGATGTTAATGTAGCCAGTCGCGCGACCCGACTTGCTGTCGCGTCTGATCCAAACGCATGGATCTGTTTTGAGTCTTGTGGTGTGGCAATATATGTGACAAAGGTCTCGTGGACATGGAGGTACCATTCTTTCCGCGCGGGACAGCCCGTGTTCTTGTACTGGCCGAGTGAATATCTGCCGCTGGTCTTGCGAACTCGAGACTCGAGCCCTGAAGAAAGGCGGACTTTGCGTCCGCTTTGATCATCCTCCAGCGACGATGGGCGCTCAAACAGCAAAGAAGTTGTTTGGATCTCCTGCTCAAAGTGGGGGAGGTTCTATACGGTCAGCTCAATCTGGATTGCTGTAGCCGCGGAGCACAATCCTGGCCTTACACTTCACCATCGAAGGTAGGTCATCAATGGCCTTGAAGGCTAAAACACCGAGTGCGCATGATGCGCTCCGGTGGAACAACTCCTTCAAGCGATCACAGACTTTCTGCTGAAGCCACTGATCCACCTCTAATTAGCTGCTTCGCTTCAGCCATGGCTTTCCGTTGTGTGGGATTCAAGCGTTCCCACACTACCTCGGCACCTTTCTGCATTGATTTTGCCACAAACTTCTGAGGATTCTTCGGCACCTTTTTCCACTCTTGCTCGTTCTCCAGCATGGGAATGACCACTCCAAAAACATTTCCTTGTTCAGCAGCATCTTGCCAAAACACTGAAGAGAACATTTCTGACTCTGGTGGAGAACTGCTTGGTGCTGAGGTTTGAGCTTGCTTCACAAGTAGAGGCCGATCATCTAGCTCATGCGCTCTTCGAGCTTTGCGAAACAACTCTTTTGCTTGTTCGTCAGGCGCTGCAGGAAGGCGCTTCAAGGGCAAGTAACTAGGATCTTCCAGCAGGCGGGCGGCTCACATCGATCTCTGATTCTGCCGTGGCTCCTGCCCATGGTAGAGGAATCATCTCTTCATCAGCCATCTCGGGAGCAGGTAGATCTTGATGAGCAGGCAGGTGGTTCAGGAGGACATGCTCTTCTTCAGGCTCACTTTCCTGAGCAGGAAGGACAGGCTCAAGGAGCAGGAGGGTTCTGTCTGTCGTTGTTGTCTTGTCACATTGGCAGGTCCGCGGCTTCGACTGCGGCCATCACGACGGCCAGGCGTAGAGGCTCTTGGTCTCCCATGTTCCTTGGTCAAATCTTCATATTGGCCTTGACTCAAGGTCTCTCGCAGGGATGTGAGCGTCCATGGCAGAGAAGGAGCTCCAGTCGCCTCGGCAATCAGGCGTTCTCTTTCGCTAGCATGCCTCAGTTGGCAGGAGTGACACTTCTTCAACTTGTCGCCCGCCACAATCCAGACCACATTGAGGTCGAAGCGCGAGACAGTCCATCGAACTGCAGCTTTGTCTCAGCAGCAAGGACCCGTCCGGGTCCATACCATCTTGCAAGCTTATTGTAGTCCAACAAGACATGCGCAGGTCGATCTTTGGGAGTCTTGTACGTGCGATTGTACACGAGGTCACCAGGACAAAAACTGAGTTGACTCCTGAGCCTGAAGTTCACGAAAACGATGCTCTGCACAAAGTCGAGCTTGAAGGTTTCGCGCCATCGCTGATGATGAAGTGTCTCCTTGAGCACTCAGGAGAGGCAAGTTGTCTTTCTCCTCCAAATCACGGGCTAAGGCCCATTGAGATGGACTGAGCCACCCGGCTGTGAGCGGCGCACATCTCCCAAGCAGCTTGTTCGGCTGGGGTCAATTAAAGACACCTCACCTCGAAGATGCGCAGCCATCTTCTTCCTCCGCTCACCAACCATTCTCTCGACATCGCCTGTGGATTCGTGGTGTTCCGCAGGCACAAAAACCAAGCTCAAATGACAGAAATCTTCCACCAGCTCTCCTCGAAATGAACCTTCCAGATCACCACGAATACGATCCGGCATGCCAAAATTATATAATCCAGTTTCGAAGCAGCGTGTCAACCACTTGCAAAGACGTCAAGTTGGCACGCTCCTGGTCAGAATGCTGGGACATGAGGTCGGCCACTGAATTAAAAGCCTGAGGCCTTGTCGAGCATAAGGAAGTGCGAGACCTGTTTGGAGCGTTCTCCACAGCTGCTCTTCTTTCTGGGCATTCTGGGCAGCGAAGTTCATGAGCGATGGCCAAAAGCATCTTGTCTGCATCTCGAGCTACCAATTTCCTTATCAGGGCGCAGTTGTTTACCGCACAGCCGATGAAGTTTCAGACAAGTGCATCCAGTTCCTGGGAGGTCAAGCCTCAAGCTCTTCAGGTCTTCCTTGTCAAACTGGAAATCTATCGAAGCAAACGCTGTTCCATGGAGTTCGCTTCTCACACGCGAGCAAATCGCCTGACAAAGTGTAAAGCGCTGTCTGGCGAGCAATCGTGCCACCCATCATAGTTGGCACGCTGGGATGACTTCCATCGCAAGTCCTGTTCAAAGGTGTCAGCCAGGCGGGGCGAGAAGAACGAAGGCGCCACGGCTTTCGGGGGTGACCGTCCTTGGTCGTCTTGAGTTCAAACATGCAGCCGTCGAGCATCACTTCTTCAAATCGATCGAGCTCTTGCAGGGAGTTCCAAAAATCCGCCACTTCAGGGAACTTCCAGGCTGCATTGTGTCGAGGCCACTCTTGAAGAGCTTCTTCTCCAAGCCATAGTTGATGAGCCATCACCCGCAAGCCGTTCTTGATCAACTTGCGAGCTTTCTTCCTTCGAAGCTTTGCTTTTCCGAAGACCTTCAGGAGTTCTCTCGTTCAGGTACTGGAGAGATGAGGATGGTCCGCGCGGAAAGGAAGCCCATAGAAGTGCAGGCCGATGAAGATCAAGGAGACTCATCGCGCGACGTGCCCCTTCTCCGGAGAGGAGGTTGCATCCATAACAAGCCATGGGCCAAGGCGGATTGCCTTGCCTCCACCTTTCTCCCACGTCTCCGGCCTTGCGGTCACCAGGGTCTTCAGGAGGATGTAGCGCAACGCAAGTTTTTTTCTCCTCATTTCTTTTTCCGCAACAGAGTCAGGGACGAGCTGTCGGAGGAGACTAGCGCCGATTAACGGGACCCTCGGGCAGCGGGAGCTCCGTGGTTGGGATCGTCGCACTGGCAGCAAGCTCACGCTGCTTGGGCGGGACGCGCCACACGTCGGATTCGCTCCTATACACCCCGGCGTTCGGAGCCCAGGGTTTGACGAGGGCAGCGCGAAGGACGTCGAGGCCAAGGTGAAGGAGTTGGGCAACGACGCCCGAATTGTGGGACAAGAAGATCGGCTGGGACGCGGCAGAGCAGTCAGCTCTGAAGAAGCTGGAGAACATCCGCGCCAAGAAGAAGGTCCTCTTCTAAGGCAAGAGCCTCAAGAGGAAGCCGATCAAACCCCGTCGACTCAGACTTCGTCCACCGGAGCGCCAGCAGACGAGACGTCGATCATTGCGGGACGCAAGACCCGTGCTGCTCAAACTCCCTGAGGAAGAAGGGTTAAAAGATCGAGATCTCGCCGGGTAGCTTCTCTCAGAATGTGTTGGCCTCTGAGGAT